TTCTTCCTGAATTTGGTTCTCTAATTTCCACTCCCCATTTTATTTTCTTCCCTTTCTGTGGTGTTACCATTTTCTATACCTCGATATTCCATGGGAGAGCTATTCAGTGGTCGTAGTGTGATGTTTCATTTCCTGTTGCAGTACCTGTATTTTGTTCTTTTGTATTCTTGGTAGGCATGATGTTACCTTGTTAATTCTGAGGAGTCAATGAACCTTTAGGTATTTTCACCATTATTTTGGATACTGTGTTCGTACATATATGTGGAGTGCGAAGATGTCAAATAAGGGGAGAAGGGGGGTTATAATGATATTAAATAAGGGGAGAAGGGGGGTTATAATGATATAAATAAGGGCAGAAGGGTGGGCCCATTATCCTCTGAGTTTTGAACTGTGCCTCAATGGCTCTTGGAGATTTTTCAGTCATAAAAAGAATGATATTATAATATGTCAATAGTTGAAATGTTCATTGTGTTTTGCTGCCAACTGTAGTGATGATGAATAAAGAAGCGGATTTTAAACTGTGTTAACTCTTGCAAATTCAAAATTAACAGAAGCAATGGTGAATAATTGAGTTGATAAAAAAGAGTTTGTGAAAGTTGCAGATCAACAAAAGTAAAGGTTATTCTGGAAAGTCTTGTGGCCGAAGTATGATATTTTTGTGTTGATAAAAAGTCATAGGGCAAGAGAAATCTATATCCATCTTCCTTTCTAACATTGCTTGAGGAAATCTGGGGACGAGATACAGTAAAACTATCAGGTCAAGTCTAGACTAGATGAATTGCCCAAGTATGTAGTACTTTAAGGTTCTCAGGGAACAATGGATAACCATATTTTAGGTTGCTCCCTTTCTTGAACTGGTACTCTTTGTATATGGGGAATCTTTCACCTTTAATGCAATAAAATCATATTGACATGATGTATTTCTGATTAATGAAAGAGAAAATATAAGTGGGAAATTTGCTGTTTCTTCCTATTTACTTTGAGCTGTTGAGGACAGGACTTTGTAAACTTCTATACTTCATCAATATGTAGGATATTTCCCTTTTCTCCATCTTTTTAAAAATGAAGGTGGTGTTCGAGCCAGTTATAGGAAACCTCGACTATTCCACCAAGTAGTTGCTACTCCCCATTGTCACAAATATCGGATATACTGGATGGCCTTTTCTTTCATTTCACATTGGGGGATTACTTTTGATTGGGTAAAACCTGCAGGTCATGTTCCAGAATGCATAACCCCCCTCATATATCTTTAGAAAACTAGTGACTATCTCAAAAAAACTAGTGACTATCACTTAACATTTTCATTTGCTTCCTTGGATACATGTTTTATTCTCCCCACTTGATACTTGGGACCTTGGTTTGCATGAGTAGAAAAACTACTAAGTTATCTGCCTGCGTAACTTTGTTTAAATTTGCAACAGAAATAATAGAGGGCATGGTGAAGCATAAGATGGAAGTTGATGCTGTAGATGTTGCTTATACTTTTGGAGTTGAGGAAAAATGTAGCCCTTGCGAAATTTTGTCATCGTTTTTAGAAGAACTTAAAGAATCGCTGAAGAAAAAGAAATGCCAATCGCATGGTTCACATGCTGTTGTGGTAATTCTTGAATTTCATCTCGAGCACTAATATTTCCCCCCTCCCATATCAATCATCATAACTAGCTTTTGTTATGTTATACAGAATGAAGCAAACAAGAGGGAATTGTCTACTATGAAATCTGTCATCGAATGTTTGGATGCCCACAACATTGATCCCTCAAAGCTTATTCCACGATTCCGTATCAGTGACAGAATTATGAGCTTGGAGGAAAAAATTGCTAGGAATGATCAAAGAAGGGAGAAGATGGTGCAAAATCTGAAATTTGATGAAACTGGGTTATCTAGAAGGTTTGAAGAGAGACGAGCAAAACGCACACGCATACTAGGTGAAGAGTATCAAAGACCTGTAAATCACATCAGTAGCCAGAGACCCTTGTTAGCAGGTCGACCTGCTAGCCACATTTATGGTTATTCTGTGTCACCATCAGCATTGCCTAGATCTGTTGCAGGCCCGATTCATGACACTGTTCCTGGCTCACCAGCAGCAAGTCGGGGAGGTATGGTTATGGGTGGAGTTAGTTCAGGTATAATAAGAAGCACAAATAACGCTCTACAAGCTGGCGCATATGGTGGATTTCGTGGGAGGATACCATTTGAAGGTAAAGCTGGGCAAATAAGAAGTTACAATAATCAGTTATATGAATGGCAAGAGAATGCATCCATGCATGAAAGGGAGGTCTCTCACAACTATGGATACGGGTCATCACCATCGTGGCAAGGCTCTATGGAGTTGCCAAACCCCGTTCCTGTTGGTCCTGGTTACCAGACCGCTGCTTCTGATCCTTATCAGTTGGCTAGTACTGGTCGAAGTTCGCCATATCAGAACAGAGGTGTTGTTCCCTCTGTTTACCATTATTCATCCTACTTGTACCCAGGGACATATTATCCCCAAGGCATGCAGTAACATGTACTTTTAGGTTTCTCTTGTAGAAATGCTTTGAAGTTGATAAACCTTGTGGGTGTAAATTATACAGTTTAAATGTGGTTTAAGGAAGCATCATGATTCATGTGTTGCTTGCCTAGTTCAACTCTGTTAAAAAATCTTTATACTGTCGATATATAAAAATTAAACTCAAATCTTAATAGAAAAAATGCTAATAAGAAGAATTTTTGAAAAAGTTTGAACTTCTATACAATAATGAAAAGAAGTACTTGTACAGTCATGTCGTTAAAATCTAATTATACATCGACTACACTAATCATGGGCAAGTAATCTGATAAGCAACCTGTATATTCAAGTAAATCAGTTTTTTTTTTAATTCAGTTTTATTTGTATTTCGTCTTTTATTTTGGCTGTTGGTTCCTTAATGCATGTGTGGCTGCACCCTCTGATATGCTTATTTCTTGATATGTTTCTTAACCGCATAATATA